CTCGAATTTTGAGTGCTTTACAAGTTGTAATTTGCGGAAGCGGAAATTTTAAGCAGGCGAATGTAAACGGGAACAATTTTAATGTTGTCAGTGAAAACTTTCGTACCTACAGCAAATCACTATTCGGCATTGACCATGGAAAAGCAGTAGACATGGAAAAAATAAATAACTCGGTAAAGGTCTAGATAATGGCACCCACCCCGAAGGGTGTGGGGGGGGGTCGAAAGAGGAGATCTCCCCCATCACTGTACCATAAAAAGTTCGTGGCGGTCTCACCCCCATAAAAAGTTATGGTCGTTCAAAGTTAATAAATATGACAATTTTTATACATTTCTAGGATGTAAATATTTACATAGTCATTCTTAAACAATATTCAAAGGTAAAACTAATGGAAAAATACATAAAAATATTGAGAAAGTTATATAAAAAATTATTTAAATATCTTTATCAATAGGGTAGGTTAGGTTAGGTTAGGTTAGGTTACCGGGTTTTGTTCAAGTGACCACCCTCTTTCGATCCCCCACCTCCACCCGCTTGAAAATATTTTTTTTATTGAATTTTATTTGAATTATAGTGTACGAAAATTGTCAAAATAATCAACTTTCAACCCCCATAACTTTTTGTGGAGGTGAAACCGCCGCAAATTTTTTATGGGGTTTTACTCAGGTGACCACCCTCTTTCGATCCCCTCCCCCTACCCTCTTTCGATCCCCTAACCCTCTTTTTATCTCCCTACCCTCTTTCGATCCCCCCTACCCCCACCCCAATGTAACCTCCATAATTTTTTATGGGGGTGAGACCGCCACGAACTTTTTATGGTATAGTGGTGGGGGAGACCTCCTTTTTCGATCCCACCCCGAAGGGGGTGGGTGCCATCATCGAGACATTTACCAATACCTTTACAAAAATACCAAAGATAAAAACCAAAGGACTTCCATTTAAACTTTTTAACTGTAAAATCGACAAAATTGTCTTAAAAGTGAACCTATAATAAAAAATCCAACTATCGCTTTATAAATAAATAAGTTAACTATTCATTCGTTTGGACTAACCTATTATGTTATAATGGGATCCCCTAAATTACAATGATAAAAGAAGCTGTTTGAGTATAATAATAATTCGTCTGGCTTTTTATTCTGTTGTCATAGTTAACTTAAAATACTATGCTTTTTTCCCAAACATTCATGCTGAAATATGATTTCCGACTAAAGACTGCAGATTTATTTAACGAGTCATGGAAACCGTTAAAGTGGATTCTTTACATATCCTATGCGAGATAACTAGATAGAGCATACCTACCTCTACATATATGCGAATTTGACCTGGAGAGGTTTTCCGACAGCTACATGATAAATTATTTCAGTAGGTTACGGTATATGCTCCCTTTTATATTCAACGGGAAAATCATCCCTGCTCTCCAATAAACATACTAATTTAATCATTTTATCTTGTCATTTTCGGTGTTAGATGTTAAAAAGTTTATTGCCAAAAATTTATTAGGTAGGTATTGAATTTTATCTTGAAACAGTGCTGACAGATTTTTCAATACACATATTTATTCAACTCATAAGTTATCATCAAAAGGAACTATTGACACAAAATGTAGTAATTTTGACTTTAGTATTGCTGCAGATTCGTTTTGAATTCTAAGAAGCCCTAAACAAAGTACAAGGCGATTTAAACATTTTTAAGAAGATTTGTACCAGGGAAAAACGATCGTCAAATTCCTGAAATATTATTCCGAAAATTCATTTTTGAATTTTATACCCACTACACGCTACCGCAAATTAATGAGGGAAAAATTGTTGCTGTTGTCACACCCCCGCCGGGAATCGAACCCGGGACCTTTAGCTTCACTTACCAATGTTCTGACCACTAAACTACGTGAGGTGACAACAGCAACCACGACCAACCGACCTACAAGGTTAACGATCCGTCGTACTAATGTGACTATATATACTGAATATACTATGATTAAACATACATACAACATCAAAAATGAATTTTCAGAATAATATTTCATATTAAACTAACTCACTTCGAAAAGATGTCTAAATTGTATGTATGTCAAATTTCCATTTTCATTTCAGTCAAAGTTTTTTTAGTATTAGGTAGATCTCGTTGTTAGAATAAAATGTACAGTTTGCAGATATTCAACTAAAAATAGTTGTGTTTTTACACGTGTATCTAGTTTGATACTGTGGTTGTATTGGTCGGATAGTTATAAGTTCTGTTATTTTAAACTAGAGAATAAGTTCGTTATGTTCCTATCTACGAGGGTGGATTGATAAGTTTCCGGCCTGACCAAGAAAAACAAGGTTTTTAAAAATTTTTTTTTTTTATTTCTCAACATAATCTCCTCCAAGGCTGATACATTTCTCATAGCGGTGTTCCAGTCTATTAATGCCATCTCTATAGACTGATTCGTCAAGCTCCTCAAAATAACCATTTACAGCTTCGATTACTTCTTCATTGTCCGCAAATCTCTTACCGCCAAGCCATTTTTTGAGATTAGGGAACAGAAAATAGTCACTCGGGGCTAGGTCTGGAGAGTAAGGAGGGTGCGGCATCAATTCAAACTTTAGATCGTTGATTTTAGCCGTCGCAACGATTGACGTGTGCGCTGGTGCGTTATCGTGATGAAACAAGATTTTTTTCTTCGCCAGATGAGGTCGTTTAATTTTCACCTCGTGGCTCAAACGTTGCAATAAGTCTGCGTAGTATTGACCAGTGATAGTATTACCCTTTGCAAGGTAATCAATGTATATAATACCTCTTGCATCCCAAAAAACAGTAGCCATAACCTTGTTCGCCGAAAAAATTGTTTTTGCCTTCTTTGGAGTTGGTTCCCCTGGTCCAATCCACTGTTTAGACTGTTCTTTGGTTTCAGGAGTGTAGTGGTGGACCCACGTTTCGTCAACGGTTACGAATCGACGCAAAAATTCGCTTGGATTACGCTTATACAATGACAAATTTGCGGTAGAAATGTTTTTTCGAATCAATTTTTGGTCGACTGTTAGCAAACGCGGCACCCATCTTGCACAGAGCTTTTCCATATGCAAATGTTGGTGCAAAATATGTTGCACACGTTCATATGACATCTTACAGGTCTCAGCTATCTCACGCACTTTCAATCTGCGGTCTCCCAGCACTATTTGATGAATTTTTTCGATCATATCTGGAGTTGTGACCTCAACGGGGCGTCCTGAGCGAGGCCCATCAGAGGTGCTCACACGACCCTTTTTAAACTCGGAAACCCACTGCTTTACGGTTGAATATGACGGGGAGGATGTCCCCAGTGTTGAGTCCATCTCTTTTTTAATTTCCTTCGGCGTTAACCCCTTCAAATAAAAGTATTTGATGACAGCACGATTTTCCTGCTTTTCCATTTTTACGAAAACCACAGAGGCGTCTTGTTCAGCGTGCTGTCAAACCTACACTAGCAAGGAGATCGGGCTGAAACTATAGCTACAAGCTATCCAAGGATGGTACTATAGAATGTCACCTCAAGGTAGGCCTAGTGGCGTCATCTCTTGGTTAGGCCGGAAACTTATCAATCCACCCTCGTATTTTAAGTGCACGCGTCCATTTCAATTGTAAGTTTTGTACGTTCCGGAGCTGTCCCATTCTAGAAAGTTCACAAAGTGTGGTTGTACATTAAATTGGAAACGGTAATTAGACTACTTTCCGACGGTTCGAAATAATGGCGGTATGTGAAAACACCCAGTACAACTTTAGCAGGCAGTTGCTACCAAGCGAAACTTTAATTAGATGGTTTCCCAATAAATGTCCGGTCTGAAAATTTGTTCCTAGAACTCGCTTCTATGCTTCCAACGTGAGGTTATATTCTAAATTATCTGATTAAGGGTTTTTATACCGTTACTTTATGTACTACTTTTATGTATAACAGTTTGAGGAAGGGTAGAAAATTATTTGCAGCTTTAAATTTAATTTTCCCTACTTCTCTCTCAAAAGTTTGTATTATATAAGCCAGTGATATCTTTTTAGTGAGAGCAACTGAGGAATTGCACCCCCGTTGAATTTTTAAACAATAACAACCAAACGGCGGCTAAGTATGAAAGTTAACAATGAGCATATCATCAAAAACATAGAACCAATTGACATTAACCTGTCGCCGCATCTATTAAAAGCAAATAAAAACATATCAGTGCTTCGTTTAATCAATAATATTACGTTGGAGGGGAGGAGGAATTTGCATTTCGGCCTTCTGCAATGCCACTTAATATCTAACAACTGTCATCCAGTTTGCTCGGAGTTTCAAGTTTAAATTCTGCAACAATTAACATTAATTTTAAATTTTATTGTTTTTTTGTTCCAGGGTGGCGGTCAATTAATTAAACAAATTTGTTTGTTTTCTGTTACGTTTCGGTTAGTTTAAACTTTTTTATTTATACTTTTTAAATTATTACTGCTTATACACAGGTTTTAACTTAAATTTAAACATTATTCTCATTGAAATACTGTGTACTGATCTGTATACAAGTAGTAATACTTTAATAAGTCTGAGGATGATTTAAATAAACCGAAACGTAACAGAAAACAAACGATTTGTTTAATCAATTGGTCGCCACCTTGGAAAAAACAATAAACCAATGTCAATATCATATCAATAATGTCCTAAAATAGAAGACATATTTACTGCTTCAAAGGCATTAACAACCCTTATTACTGATTATAGTTGCACACATTTATGCCATATACATGTGTCAAGAGACCCACTAGATGCTGGTATTCGAAAAACAAAAATTGCAATACATTTCATCGTGACCATTTAGACTGATCTTGTTAATAAAATTCTTGGTTATTTTAGGGTTGATTTCATTAAATTAGAACAGCTAATTCCAAATTTACCCCTCTAATAAAAGTCATGAAATTTCTTTAAAGAGGCTATCCCTCAATGTCCTGTTTATAAAACCTGGTGATTCCCAACTTGCTAAAACAGAATAAAAGTATTAATTAGGATTTTTTTTCTGTTTCAGATAGTGTCAGCATATGGTAAGTCTTTAAAATTATCTCTTTCTAATTCAGCAGAATCTATTTGCTAGAGCAGAACGTCGTGTCTGAATTTCAGAACAGTGTAAATTATAAGTGGCATAAACGCATCTATGATTTATTCTTTATTGCGGCAAAACTTCCCTTGTTGCTAATAAAAAGCAACGCGAATATGAGATTAGTAAAGCAAAGATTGCAATCTGCAACCGAGTAATAATGCTTCTTAGTAACATATTTTTCTTGATTCCGTTGGGATGAGTAACACGACGTTTACTTTGAATGTTCCAGCTGCTTTTGCAAATAAGAAGGAACTCCAGTAAAGGAAGTTTCTAATGAAACAAAATACACATCTCTACACTTATTATAACTGTGACAAATAGCTTGAGAACACGAAACTTTTATAACTCGGATATTAATGTACCGCTAACAACACGTTACATTGTATATCCTGCTTTCGGCGCTATTAAATGATTAATATTACTATTATTACACCTAATATTTCTTCCTTATTTTTTTAAATATACCAAAACGCTATAACAGCACTATTATAAAGTGTATGATACAGATTTGCTTAAACAAGTTGTTGCTAATGATATAACATTAGATATGAATTCTATTTATTTACAAGTTAATTTAATTGAATATTATAATACAACTGTTTGTCTAGGATTCATTTTCTAGCTAACATGATGTCAGTTATTGACATTGTTAAGAAGAGATTTAGTATGTAATTCACAAGAGTGTAAAAAACAATCACGACATGTAGATACTTGTAAAATTTGATTGACAGGAGAGCCTTTCCTGTCAAATCTCAGATATGTGTTGTAAAATTGTATCAAAAATGCTGAGGACTGTCTACATATTTTTGATACGAATGCATTAAATGAAAACATTACTGTAGCTAGTCATATATGTGATTTATTTTTTACGATTTTTTAATACGTAATATACAGTAGAACCTCTAACTTGAACATCAAGGGAGACTCCAAAAAGTTCTAGTTATAGAGTTTTCGACTTATGGGGGATTTTGACTTAGGCGGATTCATAAATTCATTGTCGATAAATCCTTAAAGTCGATAACTTAGTTTTCTTCGAACTATAGACGTAATAAGTTTCAAATTATCGAGTTGTAAAGGTTGTAAAATAAAACATTGCTATGTTGGAGATACAGAGGTCCAATTTAATTTTTCCAATTATAGAGGGAAAATATGTACCAAATTGGCTTGCTCACTCATTGTATCGATTAATAGAGGGTTGAGATTTCGAGTAATTGAGGTTTTGGGGCTTGAAGGGAAGCGAGCAAAACATTTTTTCTAGTTTTTGAGGTTTTCAACTTTTCGAGATTCGACGATATGTCACATAATAAGTCCTGTGAATAAATAAATATATGTATGCATGTAAACAATTAACCTTAATTTTGATCTTATCTTTTCAATTTCTGCTAGACGCGAATTTAAAATGTAAACTTTTATTGCGAGAGCTGTGCCAATAATTGCCTTTTATTACCATTTCGCATTTGTTGCACTTTACAACACTTTAAAAGTATTGTAATGAAAGCAAGCAACTAAGGAAGTTTAAGAGTTCAAACCGAAGTACGTTTTCCGAAATTAAGCAGAATTTCAAGGTTTTATTGCATTTTTATGTTCATCGCTTTTGAGTACATATAGTCGCTGAGAGAAGCATTTAAAAATAACAGAGAATAATAAGTATAATAAATTCTTCACACGCGCAGTAATAAACTCTACATTTACCGACTTTATAGTCTTAATCTTCGTGAGAAGTAACAAACAAACAATTAAAAAAGCAAGGAACTACTTTTACAGAGCTAACGTTTGATCAATAATGCTTTAAAGCATTCCTTAGTTTACTTTTTAACTGTTTTGCAAGAAAAATCGTATCTATTTCAAGAAATAGCAGTTCATTAGGACTTCATACCACTCGAAAGGTATTAATGGCACGAAAACGTGGGTTTTTATATTCTTAATCTACTATTTTACACTTATGATTCGAACCGAAGTTAACTTTTGCTAGCTATTAGATTTTCTTCTAAATACTAGAATTACCATTGGCTGTTTTCAACCCTCTTTAACAGTGCAAAGATGAGCAGCTAATTCACAATAACCAAATATTTTTTAATCAATAAATAACAGAAAACTTAGAAAAAAAGTTACCTATAGTGGAATACGATTATAATGACACTGAAGGGTAATGACAAACACGTCATACTAAGCGGGCATCATACAAAGCATAGTCTTAGAAAATAAACAACTTTCTAGTTTGGTTAGTTATTTGGTTTAAAAGAGAGAAAAACTACAAATTGTGTATATTTATTAACAGAAAAAGAAAAAACGATGAATTGTAATATCAATATACATAGGAAGGGTCAGGAAAATGATCGAAAATGTTATTATTAATCATTTGGGTCACAATAGCCGGAAATGATTTATTGAGAATCAGTAATAATAAACGATATGTCATTTTAAACGGAGTCATTATATCCAAGCTTTGCTATAGAGAATTTAATATGAAAACCAAATTTAACACTACAATTACTTCATATTAAACGGTTGGTCAATATACGCGGAGTCATACTAAACGAATTCCACTGTATGTGTATAATTATTATAAATAATTTTAAAATGTAGTGTTACTTCTCGTGGGGCACGTGGCTAATTAATTTAGCTGGAATAATTGAAAGTGCCGTGGGTCGTTTTCGCAAACAGAAACCAGCGTCACTTCTGGCTTGTCTGAATTAGTGTTGCTTTGGAAAAGGTTTCTCTTTGTCGCCGCGATTTCATTCGAAACTTTTAATTTCAAACCCAGGACTAAAGGACTCATGATTAAAGCTGACTCTTTAGCACGTCTCTCGGTACAGCCAACCCGCTCTTCCTCTTCAAGCAGTTACAGTAGAGAGCACCGTGGTAAGGCGCGTCGCGGCGCTCGCTTGGTCGTTCCGTTTTATTCGCTCAGCCGCGCCGGAAACAAAGTTATATAATAACTCGATTACGGATGCAAGTGTCGAGGTGTTGCTTAACAAGCTACCTTGCCACCATTGCAGTTACCTTCTTTGCATTATTTCATTGGCATAGTTTATCATGTATCACTGTAAAAATTCGACTAATAATTATAAATCTTAAAATTTACAAATATGAATTAGCATATATAACAGGTTTGAAGAATAACAACCTGATTCTTCGGGGTTTGCTACTTGAATTTAGTTCAGTACAAATTAGAATTTATCGATCACGTTCAGTAAAACTTGATTTTAAGAATGAATCTTTGAATTAGTAGGCTGGTTGTCCACGAAGCCGATTAGTCTGAAGTCAAACCTACAACAGATCAGGCATGTATATAAATGATTGCGAATTACATTATACTTCGTTTACTTTCTGTAGTGATGTGACCTTCAGTTTGACCGGCGCAAAGTAGAAAAGAACAGCACTAGGCCAGAAAAGGAAGGAGACAACTCTCTTAACCGGTAAGGAGCGTATAACCTGTACAGTACTGCACGGCAAAATTGACCATTTTATCCACTACAATTTCATTGCTCAGCTGTGCTGTGATTGGTACCATTTACTACTGAAAATATCAACGAGATGTTTGTTTATATTTGAAGACATATTAAAGGTTTCAGCGCTTGTTTTCTATTCTACTATTCATGATTGAACAAAACCTTTGGTAGGTACTGTATGAAAAAGTATGTTTAATGCACAAGAGTCGAGAGTATAATGAGCCTTTTTCTTCCTACCTACGATTTTGCCAGCGTGCATCCAAGACATTGAAAGGGGCACATCGCTACAGAAAATAAATGAAGTATACGATGCGATATGATAGGAGTCGAACGATGCATACCGTAAACACGATCGGCTTATGACGGACGCGACAAGACGCTGCAAGCGCAATCACCATCGGATTCCGCTACCTATGTCTTTATTCTTTTCTCTATTAATAAATGTACCATGCTACGTATTCCATACACGAACTTGCATTTGTCCTATAAGCGAGAGGTTCAGGTTCACATTTAAATGCATCTCTTTCACGATTACTGCCAATACATAGAAGCTCCCAAAAGCGATGCAGTCGACATTTTCTTATTATACAATTGCACTGTCCTCGTCCATTATCGTATACATTTTACGGATTGGAAAGCTGAAGTTGGTTGACCAGTTAATCTCGATTCAGTGGACGTAGTATTTACGATCCGATCTGGATCAGTTAGTCTCCCAGCCGTTCGACTACAGTTTGATCGGAATTGCGGGCAGCCAAAGAAAGTATTTCTTCACCATTACTTAGCATACGACGCGAATTAGTTTCCTTATGAACTCAGTGGTCAAGTCTCCAGTGTGAATTGAACTCACATCCTGAGAATTTCATACTATGGAAAACCCTAGCAATCATTTAGAGTAAAAACGAAATGTGAGTTAGGTCACGGTAGAAGTGAAACTTCAACAGACAAGTGGAAAAACGAAAGGCAACGGACGAGTGAAAAAACGAATCGCAACAAACTTTTTACTAGAAGTTTAACGGGTAGATTGTTAATGAACTTGTCCCACTTGAAAACCTGGAGCCACGTGGAGAACAAAGGTAAGAAAACAACAGCTGAGCACAGCACACGCCGGCGGGACTCTCGCTGACTCTCCGCTTATATTCTTTCAACCGCCACTGCCGCCTCTTTCCACACGATTTACCGTCTACCCCCTCCACGCGGCCGTAACGCTTTTTCGTGACAGAAAAAAATCGTAATATCCCGTCTATATAGAAGTTTCACTTCAAAAAATTTAATTGCGATAAGAAATTACCTTTCCCAACTTTAGTGTTTTGTTACAGTGAAATAACGAACCGAAGACAAAATAATTGACCTATTCGACATGTGCTCATTTTGCTCTGAACAGGTCACAATTTGCTAATTTATTTCGACATTTGTCCGACCTCTAAGCCTAACAGCAACATTTATTCTGAAACACACGCCCCTATAAAGGAACCACGCAAACTTAATGACTTCT